TCATCAAGGGGACCAGTTTTGAAGACGTGGATGACATCAAGATGGCTGTGACGACGGAGCTGCAGAGGATCCCGGAAGAATCCTTCCAGGAGTGCATGGCAGCGTGGCAGAGAAGGCTGGGGAAGTGTGGTAGACTCCAGGGGGACTACTTGGAAGGGGAAAACTTGTAGCTTGTAGTTTGGATTTGAAATATATCTTTTGTGATACCAGTACTGAAACTTTTCTGACACACCTCGTACATCACTGCAGAGCGAAAAAGCCTTTTTTCTTTAACTTCTTGCCATAGACCAGAATAATACATGTAACCATGGTGACCACACATCGAGATAGCAACAGCAGTGGCCTCACAGTACTTTTATAAGAAAAAAAAAATGTGTTTGTTGACTAAAACTAATGACAATCAAGTGACTTAAACATTTTTGTCAAAAGACTAAAAATATAAAACTTATTCCAAGTCAAGTGCCAAAATTATCTTTGGGTTCCCAATGTCGGTTATTGGTCTCCTTGATTACTAATAATCAGTACTGGCCCAAAAAATAGATTGGTCAACTCCTACTATAAACTCCCTGATTCTGTGACTGTTGCAAAAACCCTCCTATACATATATATAAAGATGAACTCCTGTACCTGAGCTGATGCTGAGAAAATATCTGTAAAATATGCAAGCAAGCAAAAACATGCAAGTTTTGATTGGCACGAGGAGCGGCAGCAGTTCAAAACCTGCATTACACTTCTCCTGAGAAAAGTGACAACATTCTGCAAAACAGTCTTCAACAATAAAACCGCCTGTGAACGTATCCACACCACTTCTGTAGTTCACTCACTGCCTCCGGTTCTGCTAAACATAAATACTTGAAGATCTTTTTTAATGAGGACATTTACAGGCTGCAGGTTTCACTCTTCTTTGAATTTATAGACAAGTCATTTAAAGTTTAAATAAAGGTCACGAGAAGTGAATGTTTGAGAACATCTGCTGCAACACCGCCAGTGCACAAAGTCAAAAGGGTTGACAGAAAAACTAAAAGCAGGTCTGAGGTATTTTCTTCCACTTTATTGACTGTCAATCATTCTGTGAAGAATAAAATGTGCAGAATTCATCCCAGTGAGACTCAATTATGTGGCTCAGTTGCCAGAGAGCCTTCAGTGCAACACCTATCACCAGTGGTGGGTTGCTGGGCTGAGACCATTACTCACATTGAGGTGGCACAATGTCTCATGAATTTGTTTTTTCAACAAATCACTGTAGGCCAAATAGTCTTTTTCTCAGTCACTCACTCTTATCATTTGCTTTTGCAGACAGATTGCCATGTAGAAGTACATGAGAGCTCATATTCAGGCCATTAACTGTTTTATGTAACTGTCAATTGATCAAAACCTGGAACAGATTCGCATATACTTCTTTATTATTTACTGATAAAGCTCATAAGGTAATTACTCTTGAGAAAAATAAGATAAGCACATTAAGGACACTTATGTCACAAGTGTTCTGCTCACGACAACCTAGTTGAGACATCAAAGCCTGCAGTTCCTTTTGTACTGCTTGTTTTTTCAGAGCTCGTCAAAGTAGGTTTTCATCCCTACAGGTGTTGAAGACTTTGTGCAAGAGCTTTAACTAAATCCACAGCTAAACCTGAATCGTACCCACTTGAGTGAGAAATCGTGTACAAGCATGAGTATTTATATATACGAAGCAGATGCATGTTTATACTGTCTATAGGCTTTTGTTGGTGTATGCGGTTAAATGTGGGAGGTGGTTGTGTTGTTAAAAGGAATCTCTATGGTTTTTTTGCCAGAGAGAGGCTTCACTATGGGTTTGGTGACTGATTCCACACCAGGCTGAGGCCACCCTTCAGCTCTGTCGCTGCTTATCACAAGTCAAGAGCACTGGGGTGGGATAATACGTCACCCACAACAGCTGTGGTAAACATCTACATCAGAGAAACAGCAACAATTGGGGACAGACTTAAGAAACAGACAAATAGCATGTTTGTGAAAACCAGATGAAAAATGTATACCTTAAAAAGTCAACCCTACATGTGCATAACACTGACTGCGTTAGTACCTCTGCCTGTAATTGCACTGTGCACGGTGCAGTAAGAAAAGAAGCACACTATTGTATGCTGTCAAATCAAACACTTAGAATCAGAGAGAAATGCTTTTCAAGCTAAAAACAGTACTTTAAAAATGTGTTCTTGTCAATGTCAAGAGAATATTTTTATCTACATTTTGACTGACATTATATAAATAATGTGCTATCTCAACTTATCACAAAGTAACTAAAGCGTGAAACAACAGTGGCATTTTCATTACCGTGTTTAAAAGGGTTCACAATGAGCAAGAAATTAAAAGGTTATATGACATTCTGCAGCATTCAGCTTATCGGACTTATGTTTAGCATAAAGGAGAAATTAACTCTGGCTCTTTGTTGGGAATGTTTTAGACAATGCTCCAGTGTGCAGTACACAATAATGTAATCCATTTAGACGAGCATTTCCCCCAATAATAAAGCTTTTAAGCCACAGCCTAATGGATACGATTCCTGCAACCACCAAGAAATGTTTAATAACTTATTCCTTTCCCTGTTGTCTTATGGAATTGAATAATATAAAAACCTATAATGCATATGTTCAATTACAAAAAGTGAAGGTCTCATCTTTTAAAGGCCGAGAGCAAAAACATCAAATTGTAAGAACCAACTCGTTAATCTCCCCTCTAGTGACTTTACAAGATGATTAGAGCAACCCAAGCAAAAGGAATCTGATGGAGGAGGCCAATATACTAAAAAAAAAAATAAAATCCCACCGCATTCAACAGACTAAAGGGATAAACAGTAGCACAACAAGTGATTTCTCTTAACTTAGATAAGCACACCTCTGAATTCCCACATCAATTCTCCTGCTGCATTGCGCACCTGCTCTCTGCGGTGTCTTATCAACAGATTTCAAGTTCAACTTCAGAACTAAGTTGTTTTTTTCCCCCCCGACAGTCCAACGGATCCGTACAAAGTCCAGTTTTTCACTGGCAGCACCTATAACTACCCTGGTTAATGATAAAGTAAACTATATCAATGTTTTTTGCTATAAAACCAAGACTAGAAACTCACTTACTTGCACCTACTGCATTTCTATGTGACACATTAACATTCAGGTAAATCACAAGCTCTTTCCTCCCAGCTGCATACACAGAATCTTGTATCATGCAGTAAATTATTATAATATTTGCAGCGAGAAAGGCTGTAAAAGCCATAAAACCTGAGATGATTGGGTACTTTGGTGATCCTGACGGTGTTTAAACGCACCTTCTATCTCCTGCATTTCCAGGAACAGGGATCAGAAACTCAAATTTAATAGCTATAACGCAAAACATGAGATTATGATGTGTTCTACTGCATTCAGTGTGTGTAATGAGAAAGAGTGTGCGGTTACAGCTTCACATACAAACAGGTGAGAGACTGAATTGTGAAAACAGTTCTTTTCTCTGTGCAAAAGTATCATCTCTCATCACTCGCAGCCAAACTGCCTCATAACATGAACTGTGGGACGAAAGCATTTCCGCTCACTTAAACGTGAAAAGTCATTTGCTAATTTTTCTCTGTGCATCCAGCCACCAACAGCGCTTTGCCTCGCACAATGACAACGAAATGTCATTTGCACAGAAAATTAAATCTCATTATGAATCACACTATCCAGTCATTTACAATTCTGCACGAAACAACAGGCGTGGATTCGCTGTGGTTTTCACACAGCCTGCTTTTTTTTTTTGAAAACATATTATTTCTGCCAATTTTGTATTCATCACAGCTGACATCTCCCATGAGCAGAAAACAGGCGAGAAAAAACCCAACCACTGCTACCTGTGTACCAAATATGAAAAATTCCACAATTTACATGTGATGAAGGGACTCAGCACAGTGTTGACGCCGCGCGCACATGTGCATGCAAATCTGACTTGCAGCCGCGTTCGGCATAAATGAAATGTGGTGGCTGAAGGTAGCAGCGGCGAGCTTTTCAATCAATATCCCTGCCGCCAGTGAGGCTGGGGACCATTAGCACGAGTGAGCCCAGCAAAGTGACTGTGATGTGAAATGACAGGGGCTTTCACAGAAACCGTCCTACCGTTTCCCTCATTGTCATTCAAACGCACACGAATAGCCTACAGTGCAGCTGTCCTCACTAGGCAACCAAAGTGCACTCACACTGATGTTTTGTTTTACTCAAAAAGAAAAGAAAAAAGTAATTAATTTCACTAGTCCTACAACCTCTCAGTTCCAGAACTCTTTTCTCTTCCTCCTCGGTTCTTGATCCTAATCAGCCAAGAGTTATGAAGTAACACCTTGAGGATGCTTTGACAAGTAAAGAGACAAGTGACAATGAAGGAAAGTACAGAAACATGTATAAAAATAAATAAATAAAAAAGAAATGTCACTTCTCTAAGGTGCAGCTCTCATTGTTTAAAGAAGCATTGTCTCTCTGATGGGCGTTGCCTTATATAAGTAATCACCATGTCCATTTGTGAAGGCTGGTGCACAGTGCATGTGGTTAATGTGCCACAGCTGGTGACATGCAAAGGTTTGTTTTTTTTTCTTAAATGCAGGTCTTCTGCTCATTAAACCCTCCCCAAATCCTAAGTTTCATACATTTTTTGCACAAGATTTAATTTGGCACTACAGCTGGAGAGAGCCTTAATTAAGTTAATTAGGAAAATTGAGTCAGATTTCGAGGGAAAATCATGCTTTTACTAGAAAAAAAAATCAACACTTTTTAAATTCATGTTTCAAATCAGTCTAATAATGTTTTCCAGTGTGACATGCATTAGGCAGCTTAGCACCCAGCAGTACAGCATGCTGCCCATCCCTGCAGCTTCTTAATTGCATGCCAAGTGAGCACGACAGTCAAACGAGGTTGGGGGGGGAGAGGACGCCTTCCTTTCCACTTTCACATCAAACTTTTTTTCTTTTTTGGTAATTTTCGCCGTATTGAATCATGCTGACACTTCCCTACCTCTCTCCTCCTGCTCTCTGCCCCGGGTCTGGTGATGAGCGCCGTGTCACCGCACACCACGGCCGCGTCCTCCACGAACACGCAGTCCGGGAGCGACTCGTCCGCGGGGAGCTCGACCACCTCCAGCCCGAGCCTCGTCCTCAGGACCTCGACGTACGCGTCGTGCTCCCTCCGCGCCTTGGCCAGGTCCACCTCCGCCTGGACGGTCCGGAGCGCTTCTTTGGCCAGGGACGCAGGGATTCCCCGGACGACGGCGTGGGTGTAGTGACCAAATCCTGCCATCAAACCAGCCATGTTTTTTTTTTTTTTGCTTTCCCCTTTACTTGGCACGCTCAAATCTGGAACAAAAAAAAAAAAGAAGAAGAAGAAAAAAAGAAAAAAGGACTGAAAAACACCCTCACAGACAACTCAGCGAATGAATGAGGGAAAAAAAACTACTATCAGCTGACCCGATTGCTGCCCGGCTTGCTTATTTGTTGCCTGTTAGTTTGTTGGGTTTTTTTGAATTCTTTATTTACAGTAGCCTGCTGCACACAGTGTCAGTCAGCCCTGCTCCGGTCTCCAGGCGAGCGACAGCGCTTCGGTGACGCGCACCGACCATCACGTGTAGCCGACGAGTCTGTCAGAGAGGCGTTCAGCCCAACAAGTGACAGTCAGACACACACCGAGCTGTGGATCAGGCAGCTGCACACTGGATCAGCACAGCAGAGCCCGCACCCCCCAACTCATACTTTTAAAAAATACCCTTGTGTTACTGTTTATTCCATAATATTGTCATATTTCTGCAGTTATGTACAAATGGCCAAACATGAATCAGCCCAATCATTTTTTTTTAAACCCTGTATTGCTTTTATCAAGTGAAAATGCAAAAAAAAAAATACAACCTTGTTCCAGCTCAACATTTGCAATATTTAGTGTTTTTCTAAAGTTTTGGTTTGGTTGACTCAACAATAAGAGCAATCACTTTCTTAAATCAATAATCAAAAATGTTGTCTTGCATATTTGGGATCAATAGTGGTGTTTCCGTCCACATGGTGACATTTGAATCTCTGCTGCATACTATTTAATGACAAGATACTTTCTAGAAATAGGTGGAGCTGCTGAAATCTGCAACAAACTGAGTGACGTCAGTGCTGAGAATACCAGAGAACCTTTTTTTTAATACTGAGGTGGATGGAAGCTAATTATGCCCACACCATTAGGGTTGGTTGATAATATATGATGCAATAAGAGAAGAGAAGTTTTCTGTCTGTCAAATTTGACTTGTTGGCTACAAAAGGAGGAAAATTTTCAACTTAAAAGTGCAAATAGATATGGTGTATCATGTGTTTGTAATGGAAAATCTAATTTTTCACAGAGGGAAATGGGAGAAATGATAAAAAAAAACAAGCATCACATGGAAATCTAGCTAAAAAAAACCCCACCAGCTGAGCAACTGCTACTTTAATCCCACTTTTATGTTAAAATGCACTTCAAAACAAAGAGAATGAAAGCACATCTCCATGCTCGAAGCTGATTTTTTTAAAGACATCTGCTTTGCTCGCAGCAGACTTTGACAAATAATGTACACAAACTTCAAGGGCAGAGAATAAATGTGTATAGAAAGAGGCTTTGTGTTTGTGTGAGGTGTAGGGCGAGAAGGGTGTGAGAGGAAGACCAGTGTTAAGTGCATGTGTGTGTACGGGGGGGACCGGTGGGTGGGTGGGTGAGGGAGGTTGTATTCCCTACGGTGCCATCTAAGGAAGGATCTGGGCCCAATGAAGCTGTCTGAATGGATGGAATGTTTCTTCAGACGTCCCAGAAGCACATTCTTCCACCGCGGGACCTCGGTTTGTCTTTTCTTGTTCCAGATTCACTCAATTATCCCCGACTGCTCTAAACATTCCAGTACATTCCAGGAGCCCCGCATTCCTTTTTCCACTCCAGCCAGGATCACCAACCACCAGCACCCTCCTCCCAGCACTAACACCTGCCCCCACCAACCCAGACTTCTTTCTTTTTTTTTTTTTTTCCATCATTCCTCATCATGGATGGACATGGCCCAAGAAAAGACCCTCTCTTTTCTCTCTTCTCTCTCCATGCGGAGGAATTTGGGCTACTTCAGATGAAGGAAAGCCCTCATACTTTCGACACACCTGGCTGGTACATTGTGCAGCTATAAAATCAAATCAGTGAAAGCAGACACGGTCCTCCAGCTGCAGATGAAGCGGCACCACGAGCGGCGCCACTTTATTTGTCTGCTGTGATTGGGCTCATCATGAGCTTCTAGACGTCTGAAGTGACACAGACATGCACGATTACACAGGTGCATGGAGCATATTTAACTTGAGGCAGTCGGGCGAATTTATGAGCTTAATTCCCTCAGAAAATAAAGCGATCAAATAGAATATTTATAGAGGGAGAGGAATGGATGCTCCATTTTTAATAGCGGTTATAACGACGTCCAATACAAGCTGTTTTTCAGCTGTTTGAGAAAATATGAAGTGAATGTCAATTTGTTGTGAAGCGCCCAACATCCAGCAGAAATCAATAAAGACAAGTTTTAGTTTGTGGAAAGGATGCAGTCGCTTTTATCATAATTTAAACACCTCCATTGGGGGAAATGATTTGTAAAAACCTTCAATAAGCAGTTCATGGCTGATGATGAAGCCAAGGAACCAATCCTGGTAATTTGCAGGATGGGGATTTCTGTATCATCATTCTGCTTCAGGATCAGTTTAAAGTTCACCTATGTGTGGCTGAATTATTTAATATCTACTTGCTATTGTGTAGAGTCGTAGGTGAGCTGGTGTGCTCGAGCTGCTGTGAGTGGGGGAGGGACTTCTAAATATGTAACTTTGATACCCATCGTCAGTTGGGTCACTCACACTCGAGTGTAGCCAATCATAAAGTACTGAAAGACAGGCAAAACATTTAGTCTTTTCTTGGGGTTTGTTAATTATAAGAAAAATGTAAAATATCTCCAACTTTATACATCACGCATGTTTTTAAAATCCAGTCTTAAACTCTGTCTTTAGTCATTGTCAAATAATTGAAGTACTTGTGGATGTTTTAAAGTCCCCCTTAGCTTATTGATTAAACCCCTACGAACTTATTTCTGTGTATCAAATTAACATTTTTAGAAAATAAAATAACCCCTTCCTGCCTTAAAATTGTTTTCATGCATCTCCACAAGTTGATAAACTAATTACATCGCTCCCCATCCACAGCAGCTCCAGTGCACCAGCTCACCTACGACTCTTCTCAAACATTGTAGCACTACTCCACAATACAGTGGCAAGATGTAATATTGGAGTAATTCTGGCATACATGTTTAAACCACAAACCCTGAATGTTGACAGGATGTGTTCCTGAGGTTTGTTACTTATAAAACCCTCGAAGTAGGAATCAGTGTTGTTGAGAGCGTCATTGTTACTCTGCTTTCAAGGCACAAATGCTCAACCGTGTCATTGACTTACTTACTTTTGACTTAATGTGTCGTTCAGCATCTAAAAAACACACCAAATGGACATGATACCAAGGTTAAGAACGTAATATTCCCCAGAGGGCGTTTTTAAACTTTGAATTCCCTGTCATTTACACGTGTATGTGTTTATGGACTGTGTGTATGTAAAGCACATGGAGGCTCGCTATACGAATAAACCTTGACCTGACTTGACTTTATTTGTGCAGGAAGTTTCTAAAACTAGACCAGGCAGGTTGAGCAACATCACACACACCACAAAATTAAATGTAATCTCTTCATCACACAATAACTTTTGGAATGCACAAATCTTTACAAATAGGTGGTACTGTGGCAAAACATCAAACAGAGAAGTTTTCATTGTTCTTACTGTAATTATTTAAGCAGAAATGTCAGATGTGTTTTCAGGTAATCAGAACTACTGATTAATGGATGCTCTTCTTCTGTTGTTGATGCAGCCAGCAGATTCCTCAGATGTCTAACGGTTTGGTATGGGAATGTTAACTGACTGTATTTCACTAAGATTATCATGTTCTCTTACTTTGCTGCTTCACACCCCATTTCAGACACTTAACACTTCAACAGTCAGCTAAGTATATTGCTTGTCCTGCTCTTTTGGCCTCCAGCCTATCAGAATCACACAACAGCAGTCTATCTGAAGAAGATATACCAACTCTAGAATACTAACAGAATGTTCAACTGGCTTACACAATTGTTTATCTGCTGCACAGTTAGTTTCCCTGATTCTTGATGTTTTCACCTCCTGATGAGACATTAAAGTCCTTTACATTGCTCACAACGTGTACATCTGTTGATACACATGTGACATATACGCAAACTTTTGTTCACGTTGAAAATGTGCCTGCAGTACCTTAAGGTTCCTCTCTGATGCTTAATTCAATTCCTACAAACTTATTTCTGAGTTTTTTTTTCCACAAAAATAATTCCTTCCTTTCTGTGCCAATCCTCTGTTTCCACCCAAATCTACCAACTCGCTGCAGCTCAGGCACGCCAGCTCACCCTCTGCTCAAAAACTGTCCAACTACTCTACACAACGGGAAGCTGCAATATTGGAATAACTCAACCATACATGTTCACACTAGAAACTGATTCTGAAAAAGAATAATGATGCAGGAAGTTCCACGCCGCAAGTTGACAGGATCGATTCTTTAGGTTTGTTACATGTGAAACCTCAGAAGGATCCATGTTTTTGAGACTGTCATCATCAAACTACAGTTTCAAGGTGGAAATACTCAGCCATGGTACTGACTGATTACTTTGCTCATGGTGTGCTTCCTAGCATATAAACAACAACACCCTATGGACATGTTAACAAGGTAACAACCGGACTGTCACCTGAGGCAGTCTTTAAAATTCACAAACTACTCCATAAGGGGAAAGTTGAGCAGATGTGATGTTGCGGTAAAACATTGCCATTTCTATGGAATGTGCACTTTCTTTTTTTTTTTACACTAAATTGACCCATTACTGATGACTAAACTAGCCGAGAATGCCAAATGAGTAATATTATTTTCCTCTTTTTCCCAACACACAAATACTTTCACACGAAATGACTTCTTCATTTGGCAGAATGTTATGCTGTATATTCAATTTACTGCACCTTCCTGACATGTGACGTTGTAGCAGATGTTAGGAGTCACGACATCTTGTTAGCCACATCCAAGCTCAGTGCGAGATACAATACTATTGAACAGACCAACAATGTATCAGTGCACATAATTGATCTTGAGGCAAAGACTGGTACAACACAGTGAATGAAGATTATGTGCTGTAACAATGTCAGTTCAGTTTGCTGTTAGTATTTTTTGTTGCAACAATGACTTTACTGCCTTCTTGGCCAAGTCTCTATTGAAAAAGAGATTTTAATCTCAATAAGACATATACCTGATGAAACAATGTTATGTCACGATAACAAAGACGACATGTTTGAGCACAGACCTCAGCTTGAACTTTTTCCTTTTCAAAGAATCAGCAAAACCTATTGACAAAAGTTGCGTAAACAGATCCAGTGAAATTCGTGTGAGCATATTGTCTCTAGGGTCTGTCTTCCCTCATCAGATCAATATTTCTTATGAATTTGACTCTATGTTTTAATCGTTGGCATCATCTCAGCAGCCGTTCACACGAGAACAAGCCATAACTCATCAGACTTCCTGCTGCTCCATGAGCTGACAGAGAAAGGAAGCGCTGCCGCTACACACTGCATACAAGTTATGACATTTATCGTGAATATGCTACAATGGAATCTGTTGTTTAAACACACCGGGCTGTCCTGTTCTGTTCCATCTGTCACTGAGACATAAATGGGGAGGCTGACGGCTGCTGGCCGCGGACTTCTTAAGGCCCAATTCTGAGGGCCGCT